TCAATTGGAAGCATTTGAAATTATTTCGAATGGACTTGGCTATTTGAAAGTCAATGAGAAATCTAGTTGTTAATTTTGAAAGTAGGTCAAGTCCATTTTTGATAAGAAGACATGTTCGCCTGATAATTACTATTAGTTTAGTAGCATTGGTAAATTTAACTCTGTTAGATACACTTGAGGAGTAGGACACATTGGCACACGTATATTTTTAATTTAATTGAAACGCAAACTCTGAAATATTTCAATTTAAACATAAGTCACTTGCAAATTAAACAGCTTATTTAAATTCAGATTACAAGCTTCATATGCTTCCTTTTCGTTTTCTAAAAACTACATATCCTCAAATATCTGAAAACCCGCACATCCCAAATTGCCAACTGTTCAAAGCCTCAGTTGCCATCTCGGCGAAAGAAGAATCAAACAGTAGACCAAACCGAAACAAAGAATTTATAGAAAGTGAGAATAGAGAACATTTCACTACAAAGCACCTCGAAATATACAATAAACGTCATATTGAAAAGACATCGTTGAATAGAATAACAAACAATTGATTATTGAACAAAAGACTGTTCGTGCACGATTAAATGGTAACGTACATTCAATTCGAAAACGCTTCGATTGCTTTGAATAATATTATTGGAAACGAATGATTTGACATGTAGATCGGTCAGAAACGTGACGGGGTGACTCGTGGGACAAATATCAAACCCATATAATACCGTGATAACAGAATTTACGTAATCGATTGCGTAACCAAAGAAAACCTATCATTACATTCGGTTTGCAATATAATTTACGTAACTTTTACTTTTCAAATACGTTTCTCGATGAACTGGCTCCGGTCAAAGTGACGTAACGCCGAATTGTAAATTGTAAGTAACCCACCGGCATTCTTATTTAATTTTTTTTTTCTTTGTTCAGACGTTTTATGGTACTTGGACAGCAACTTTTGTTTCGACTATTTTTTATGAAACTGATATGTAATCCTTGTGCTTTACCAGACGCGAATTCGCGTTTCGAAACTGGACAATTTTATATAATAACACAAATACGGTGGAGATTCGATATAAGCGAAATGACCGGTATGATATAAGCGAGCTTTTACAGAATTTACAGATTTGGAAAACTTGAAATTTTTAAAATTTAGAAATTCAAAAATTTTAAATTATGTTTACAAATTTGAGAAATTTTTAATGTCAAAATATGGAAACTTGGCAATACTGAAATGTAGAAATTTGAAAATATGTTAATTTAGAAAAGGGAGAATTTAAAAATGTTTCAATATAAAATGCTAAATGTGTATATTTCCAAATTCACAAATTTACTATTTTACAAATTCTTATCTAGAAAAATTAGAAATATATGAACTTGATAATTCCAAACTTTAAAAGTTTAAATTTTCGAATTAGGAAACATCATCAGTGTTCCCAATCTTTTTCTACAAACAAACGACAATAACCGAAAGAATGCTAATGGATATCGATTAATAGCAATCGCTAATTCCTATTTCTAGTGGAACTCGTCGTGGAGAATTTAACAATCGCGCCTTTTGTATTATCAACACAAATATGACGCCTCTTGTGTGCTCGTATCTCATTTCTTTTTCTTTCTAATCTTCATTTCCGGTTTCCTACTTATAATGTGAGCAGAGATTGTTTCATTCTTTAGTTTAATTATAGTATTTAGTTGAATTATAAATTAATCAATTATGTATTTAGTTGAATCAGAAATAAATCATTTACATATTCAGTTGAGTTACAAATAAATGAATTATATATACGTTCGAACGAATTATAATTGAATCAAATATATATTCAAATCCCAAATAAATCAATTACATATTAAACTGAATTATAAATAAACCAATCATTAGTTTAGTTAAAAATAAATCAATCAACCGAATTATAAATAAATCGCTAATACATATAATAGAATTAAAAATAAAAATAGATCAATTAGAATTATAGATAGATCAATAAGATGGTTAAACAGTGCACCATCCGTGTGGCAGTAATTACCGGCGCTCGTTATAAAAACCGAATCGCTTAACTTGTGTGTCAATGTTATTGTTCCCATAGGTGCGTTTGAAGAGCAAAACATTGTTCCGCGACACACACGTTACGGTACATTGTCAGAGTGAATCTGCTTCTCAACTTTGCTGGCACAAAAGGCGCTCGTTCACCGAGATGTGCCTTGGTTTCCACCGAGAACACCGTGCACCGACCGTGTCCCACTATTATGAACGGCAAACATTTCCATTTGCGAAACTATCGTGCATTGTGCACTCGCAACGAGAACCGCGGCGACGCGACGTTAATTCCTGCTCATTAAAAATAAGTAGTTCGGGCTACGATTAATTGGCGTATCGCGGATGTTTCGCGGCATTTCTATGCCGTTGTCGTTCCTGAAACGGTTCAACCTACAACGAAGGTCAATTGAATGCCGCCGCAATTGTTTCCGCAAACGATACACAAACGAACAAATTCCTTTCAACTGCAAACACCGCATAAAATGTTTCAACTGCGCTAACAACTTCTTATTCTTACGAATGATGGACGTACACGAGTACATTTTAATTGAATCGCTCAAGGGGCCTTAACGTCGGGTTAGTCGTAAAGTGACGTCTTTTTAACCCTTAACTGGAATATGAAATGAACCCAGTTTAGCTTCAATTTTACTTCAACTCCTGAAAATCTGAATATCTTTTTTAAAACCCCCGTGTTTTTACTATTTTTTCCTCAAACTGTTATATCAAGTGTTCAGCTGAAATTTTAGCTCTTTGTATTAAAATCGAAAAAAGTTTTGAATTTTTCTGTGGGAACCATTTTTCAGTTCTTTCACGTTCCTGAATTTTTATTCATGTATGAAAATTTAAATTTACTGAAAATTTACTTAATTCAGTTTTGAATTACTGAAATCAGCTATGAAAAATTAAAACAACTTTCAAAGATTATTTATAATTTTTTTCAAGTTGGGTCTGATAAACTAATATTTGATAAAATTAATACTAAAACCAAAGTGGCCAAATGATTGCTCCAGTTTGAAACAAGTAACGCAATTTATTAAGATGTTTCACTTGAAATCTGCATTAACTCTTTGGGGCACGGTGGGATTAAAAGTGTCCCGCCTTTTTGATGTATATCATGGCATGGTGGGACATTTTTAGTCCCACCATTTTTAGTCCCTACTGCCAGAAATCTTGCAGTAGCTGCATGTGCATAGGTTTATATTTCGCCTTATTTACGTAAAGCAGTTGGTAATGTGTTCAAATAATGTTACAAATGTATTCATTGTATTGGGAACATTCAACATGCAATTACCGGCTGAGCAGTTGTTATAATCGGAAGGTTTATTGCACTCACATTTTTTTCTTAGTTTCATGTTAAAAATCGCAGAAGTAAGTCAATTTCTATAAAAATTAGTTCTTCATAAGCGAGTAACGATTTTTATAATACAAATCGATGGTTAAATTTGTTTGCAAATGATGAAAGTATAATGGGATTTCATTTGTCCAACCATACAACTTGTGGAGTAATACAAAAAACAATTTTTCTTTACTGTTTATGCTGTATATTCTTAAAAATTTACTTAACTGTTACTATTTTGTTATATTTTTACATAACGTTATACCATTATTAATAAAAATATACCAATTTTGTTTCATTTAAAATCCGATAAAGTTCCTGTGCAACATGGGTCTATTTTTGATCTGAAATCCTGTGCCGCAAAGAGTGAATTTACATCAAGATAAAAAGTTAACGTGTATACGATTTTATATTTAATCGTTTGTTTATTTCTCCAACATCATCAATTCTAAATTATGTGCACACAAGGTTTAGTGCTAATGAATTTTTTTGAAGTTATTATTTCTCTGCTATTAGTTTCCACAGATGTTTTCCTCGCTGTGTTTATACATCACGCGTATAGCATTCTAGGTGTAATTAGAATATACTTATTTCATATGGATGAGTCACCTTTCGAGTACAAGAGGTAATGACATTTATTCAATTCATTTTTCTCTTTGACACATTTATGCATCTATTTCAAGTTTCATTCTAGGGTGTCTTATTGAGGAAGACGGTGTCAAGTATGATGGAGCTTTTGAAATAATGCTTCGATATTAATGGTCATAGAGTTCACTTATATTACGTTATTTAACAGTTATGTTTTGTTGTATTATACAATTTTTATGAAAATAAGAACTTGTTTAAATATGGACAAAAATATGCGTGCTATTAAATGAGAATCTTCGTAATATATTAATATTCGGTCACTTTAATAATCCTTTAATGTGTTGACACCGATTCAAGCAAATTTAGAAGAATTTTAGGTAGAAATTTGGGAATTAATAAATGTCGACATTTGTACAATTTGAAAAAATTAAGAGTTTCAAAATTTGCGACTTCAATATTTCAAACTTCAACAATTTCAGTACTTAGAAATAAGAATATATAAAAATTAAAAAATGTAGGAATTTGGGGATTTCTAATTTCTAATTTAAAGATTCAATTAAAAATCTGAAAATTTACAAGTCCGAAAATATGAGAATTTAAATATTTTCAAGTCTGCATACTTGTTCATATCTAAAGAAATCCCATAACGCAGCAAAGTGTACTATTATTTAGTAATAACAGCGCATAAATCAAAGAACTTGCGTGAAATTAAAATTGATTGAAAATTTGGAGATTTAAATCTGAAACTTTGGAAATTGGAAAACTTACAAATCTGAATACTTAGAAATGTAAATATTCTCAAGTTTGCGTACTTGCCCATATCCCACAATGCAGCAGTGTACCATTATTCAGTAATAAAATTGCATAAATCAAAGAACTCACGTGAAATTAAAATTGATTTAGTCAGTAAGTCCTATCAACAGGTAAGGATCGATTAAAAGTTGAAGAGCGAAGTTCGGGATCGGTCCTTGTAAGGAATAAGTAAGGGGGGCAGTAACCGTGCGGGCCAAGTGGTATCAGGGGGCCAGGGCAACAACCGAAGCTGACCTCTACGACAAGCATCGTTCTCCTCCTCCTCTTCCACCTCCTTCCTCTTCTTTCTCTTCTAACCTCTCTCCATCACACGCTTTACAGCTCCTTTTCCTCCGCGGCACAATAATTCGTCATTTCGCACGCCACGAACCTTTCCTGTTCGCCAGACCATCTCGCATTTGTCCCACATCGTCGTGGCCTGAACCATGAAATCTTAACAACGCTCGTGAACGAATCGCTGAACCGTAACTTCGTCTCGTGTCGATGGAGTTAAACCCCTTCCGTCGTGAATTAATTCCTGGCGAAAGAAGAAAGAATGGAGAGACGGTTACGCTGATACACTTTCTTGACGGCACTATCGAATCGATCTACCGCCCGCCATTTTGCCGACCGAGACAACTCTCTTGGCTCGTCCATCTTGTTTGCAAATAGTACGTTGTCTGATTTACTGTCATACTTCGGGTGTATAAATTGGAACATTGAAGTAGCACGATAGGATCGGAGTCAAAGTTACATTCACATTGGCTCAAAATTATGATAGATAAGATGGTTACATGTTACACTTAATTCTTGCTTGTTCTACTTGCAAATAGTGTAATGTCGAATTTATTATCATATACCTCAGATGCATACATTGTAACACATAAGTAGTATGATAAGGTCAGAACTGAACTAGTCAAAGTTACATCTCTTCACATAAAATTATGATAAAATGGATGTATGAGGTTGCACTAATTTTATTCACCTTGTTTGCAAATAGTATAATGTTTGATTTACTCTCATATATGTTCGATATATAAATTGAAACACTTAAGTAGCATGGTACGATCAGAACTGAACTATTCGAAGCTAAATCTACACATTCAATTCAGAACTGTAACAGATAAGATAGCATACAATGACGTTACACTATTGCTTCTCTATCTTGCAAATAGTGTAGTGTCAGATCTAGTATCGTATACATTGGGTGTATAAATTTGAACACTTAGGTAGCATGATAGGATCAGAACTATGCAAAGCAGTATCTACAGTTTCTACACTGAAAATAATAGATAAGATGGTTGTATGACATTACATTAAATTCCTGTTCGTCCACCTTGTTTGCAAATGACAATGTCTGATTTACTACTGACTCGAGTATATAACTTTGACTGCTCAAATAGCATTGTAGGTCAGAAAAGTAGGTTGATCTAACTGAAACTCTAAATGTTCGAATGGAACATATCAATATGTACAATCAAGGATCGCTGAAGGTAGAATGTTCTTGATATTTTAACTTCTTTCAGTTGCAGCAATAACCTTAACGTTGTAGTATAAATTAGCTGTGAATGAACTGCCTATAAAATTGTAGGTTAAGAGGCTAAGAACTTGGTGGGTAACAAAATTAATAAATGAGAGGGTTCAAAAAAGTACCGAATAACATTTCATTGAATGAAATGAATGAATAATCATAAATAAATGAAATCTAGTTCCAAGTAACTTTTCCCAAAGAAATAGACTATCTATTGTTTTTTCTCGGAATGTGTAGGTAACGGGTTCCAGTGTCACGTTACCTGGTACTTTCCACAAAACGATAGTTAATCAACCATAATTAATGCCGTCTCTCGTGTTCTTGCGATTGCTTTCTATCGATACTCGAAGCATGCCGTTCGTGCTCGATCTTGGCTCGATCGAGGAGCACTTTTTGCTTTGTCCGAGCTCGATCGCGAACGTGGTTATCCGTTATCAAAGGCACGTTCGCAAGGGGATCACGGAACATGCTAATGGATAGATGTATCGAGAATTGGCCGCGAAGTTAACAGGCATTAGCTACTTGGTCGACTGGCTAATCGTCGATGATCGATAATGGAGCAACTGAACTGGTTACACGAGAACCATAGCTATTACCATGACCGATGCCAACTACTGCCAGGAGAAAGGGTATCGAGTGCCACCATTCGATACGAGATTTTTTTCGAAGCGGGTAGTCGAGCTTTCAAGTTGAAGACCAGCCTCGATTCACCTCGAAAGGAGACTGCGTCGAATGTGGCGGACATTAAACGATATCTCGGCGAAAAAATGGACATTCCTGTTTGCCACTAGACTACTCGTGCCGGTTAAATAATTATACCCGTAGAACACTGTTTCAACTTATCCAATCGATGTAACATCGAAGAACTTTTCGATAATTTTTGAAGAATACGAAATACCGATCTTTGAATTTATCGAATGTGTATTGGAATGGATAGGGATAATTTTATTGTTTGATTCGGATAATTCGAATACTGGAATTCTGAATAATTCGAGCATTGATCGTGTTCGAATGGATGTTACATTTGGAGAATTTTAAAACTCGAATATATCATATGGATTATTTGAATATTTCATTGGGACAAATTCGAATAATCAAATGTATTAGACTTATATTTTAGGGATGCATTCGGATAATTCAAGTATTTGAATATTGTACTCGGACACTTGAATATCATTGATATTCAGATAATTCGAGTACTTCATTAATTTGAACATTTAAATATTTTGCTTGCAAACTAATACTTAAATATTTCACTCGAATAATTCGAATATATGAATATTACATTCGGACAATTCGAATAATTGAAAGCATCCAGATAATTCGAATGTCCAAGTATTTCATTCATTAATTTGAAAATTTAAATATTTGACTTGTAAACTACGTAATATTTCAACTATATAAATATTTCACTTAAACAATTCAAATATTTGAACGTTTCATTAGGATAATTCGGGTGTTGGAATATTAAATACAAATAATTCGAATGTCGAATTGTTACACTTTTGAATATCACAATATTTGAATATTTATTCAGATAATTTTAGTATTCGATCTCTGAACTTCTACAAACCGAAACTCCTAAATACTCCATTCGGATAATTCGAATACCTAAATATTTAACTGAGGCTATTCAAATACTGGGGCATTAAAATTTCGAGTGCTCGAATATTTGAATATTCAATCGGATACTTGTGATGATACTTCAAATATTTGAATATTCAAATATTCTATTTAGATAATTTTATTTGCATAATTTAGGTATTTAAACATTCTATTCGGATAATTTGAGTATTCAAATATTTTATTTGAATAATTTGGGTATTTAGATATTTTATCTACATAATTTAGGTATTTAAACATTCTATTTGGATAATTTGAGTATTCAAATATTCTATTTGAATAATTTGAGTATTCAGATATTTTATTTAAATAATTTAGGTATTTAAATATTCTTTTCGGTTCATTTAAATTTTCGAATATTCAAACATTGAAGCGACGTAGCTTCGGATATTTACATGTTCCATTCACATGATACAGGTATTTAAATATTCGAATGTTCATAACATGAATATCGGAATTTTCTATTCGAAACAAATTCTTGTATCTATTAGATACAGATATACGCATAAGCAGGTTAATAAGTGATCGCACAAAAGAATCTAATAAAAACAAAGCATATAGTTATTTTATGATTTATTCAGCTACTTTTTTATTCTCTACAAATTCGCAACGTCATACAAAATAAAAAAAAACTCGCACTAGTTTAGTTTAACTTGACAGATACATTTCGCTTTCTTTATACTGTTTATGTTTTACACTAATGAATTGCATCAATTATGGTTTATAAATTGGAATAGAATAAATTCATATCGATATATTTTCTACCATTAAAAGGAATCTTCGCTTAATTATAATTTTGCATATTGTATTCTAATGTATTATTAAATAACGTAAAATGTAAACATTAGAATTATTAAGTAATTTGAATTGTTTTATCAACTGTTTCTGTTGTATAGTTTCAAACAATAGTGCAATTAAATTAATAAAAAACAAAAAATTGTTCAGATTCAAAAATTCAAATTAGTAAGAATTGTAAGAAATTAAAAATATTTATTTATTGATAATACGCGATAGTTTTCTCATAGTCTAACATTTATATGAGATATTACATTTATCTATATTTTATGAATAATAAATTTCAAGAAAGAATCTCAAATTCAGTCAATGTTATTTTATTTAGTAAAAAATTAAAACACTGTTACTTAAAATAAATTAAAATATTTTATCGGTTAGCCGTAATAAATTACATACTAATAAGAAATTGTCAAAATAACAGAAAAATAAAGATTAAAACACGCAAAGATATTTCTTGGATTCAACATGCAACATTTAAAGTTTACTTAAACTAAATATACAAAAAATAATGAATAATTAAAAACAGAATAATTGCACGTTCACATATCTTCAAGTACAAAATATTGCAGTTGTGAAAAGTATACTGATAATGTTAACGAAGATTCCTCGAAGTATAAACTTTCCCCTAATTTAAGTTTCTTTCAATATTTTGTTTGACATTGTTATTGCAATGACGCAATCAGAATTCATTTACCGAAGAGAGAAAAAAAGGAGATGTGGTGTTCAGGACATCGGTCATAAAATCAAAAAACACTGGACACGGTTATTTTGTATTCATGAAATTTCATAAGCACGAGGCCTTTTTGTTTTTATTATTTCTGTACAAAAAAAGTCGAAAAAATTATAGATTTTTTCTTTCGATAAAGATTTAATTTTTTCGAGCTCACGGCATATATACAAGCGGGAAATGATAGACATAGTAACCTATAAACTAAATATAATTATACATTGATATAATAATAGATATAATAATTAGAATCCATAATAATTAATAGTAAACCTACAGTCTACAGATTCGAGAGTGTACGTTATGCGTTTCCTCATGTCTGTATTATCCTCGTCAATGTGTTTGTTTGTGTGTGTGTGTGTGTGTGTGTACAGGCGCGTGCAAAGTGGCTTTCCTCGATTCTACTCGTTCGGCAACGGTCGGCTTACGTCGGTACAATTCGGTTGGCGTGGGGCTGGAAGTACAACTACACTCTTTATTTCGCGTACAAGGAACAAAAACAAACCTAAATTCTAAATGGTTAGGTAGGGTTTTTCTTGGTCGAGGGAAACCTATCTTGCTCGCGATTGTACCTGTATACATTGATAAAATCAATTTCCTTTATTATACAAAGTTCCTCGAATAGATCGTTCCAATCCGAATTAACCCTTCGTAGTCTAAAGTTGTTCGGTAAAAAATGAATTAACATTTTTCTAATTGTCAACTTGAATTAACATTTGGTTAATTTATTGTTTAAGATAAACAAATTTTGCTATATTATTATGAGATGTAATCTGTGGATGATGGGTAATTCAAGAGCCTGTGATACTAAATGTTTGTAATAATTATTACAAGTAACTGATTGAGGAATAATTTTAAATTTCATTTTTATTCCGAAATTCTAAAATTTAAACTCAAAGTTTATTTTAATTAAAAAACTTGCGAATAATTATTTTTTTCAAGAGATATTTCATAATTTTGAACTACATTTTTCCAGGAATTTCCAATGTAAGGTCTTGTAAATTACAAGGTCACAAGGTTATTATTAACCCATCCACCATTCCAGAATTATATTCGATTATCACCGATATACAAATAAACAGTTTCTTCTAAAAGACAATTCCTGATAATATTCCATTATCAATATCAAGAAACATTTATAGCAAATTCGATATAAACATATCAATGACGAAATTTGATAAATCAACAGTAGACCGTAAAGAGTTAATTGACAATGTATACCATGTGTGTGTGTGTGTATGAACGAATGTTTTCTTGTGCACTATCCAACAGGGTCGCCGAATTCGGATCTCGATGACCTTGGGTCAGTGTCTTCGTTTTTATCTCTCTAGCTCGACTGCGTATTAAAATCACTACGATTTTGTTCTCTAATCAGTACAATAATTCGGCATCACAATAATATTACCACGATGGGACCCACGGCCTTAATATACCCGAGTTGAGCACCCCTGCCGGGTCTCTCACGCTCTCTTCCTGTCCATCCCTCTCTGTTTCTGTTTTATTTCTTTCTTTTCTTTTTTAATTTGTCTTTTCACCCTCATCCTCTCTCTCCCACACTCTCTTTTTTATTATCTCGCTTGCACGCTTACGGAAAAATTGTATGCTTTTTCTGACTAAATCGTTTCCGCTTTTTTCTATTTTTTCTGTTTTTCTTCCTTCCCCGAAAAAATCACACCCTCTTCTCTCGTGCATTCTCCTTCCTGGTGTCCCAACAAGAATAATAATTTTCACAAGAAAAGAAAGACACACGGCATGTACTCTTAATATATTTTACGCTTCATTTACAAATTTCAACTCTCTTTCAAAGCACTTTCTCACGATCGAAAGCGGAGGGAACACGTGTTACGGAAAATGCGAACGGAAGAGACGAATTATACAAAAATTTGTACAAATTCAATTTCGAATTTTGAATAAAAATTTTCTTTTTTCATGTGCACCTACGTAAAGCGAAATTTTTTAAATAATTAAATCGATGAAGTTTCTTTTTAACGAAATCTCGAATAAGAATTTGAATAGTTGAATTATTTGGATAGCTTGAATCTTCAACATTCAATTCGAGCAATTCGAACATTTAACTCGAATAGTTCGAATATTAAAGCGTTACAATTTTGAACATTCGATTTCGATTATTCGAATATTCAAAATATAAAAGTTTGGAATAGTAGAATGTTCAATATTCCACACAAATAATCTCAATATACCTGAAATTTAGATTACATCGAATTTTTCAAACACTCAAATACCGAATAATTAATTTAAGCATTTAAATTTTAGATTCCAAATAATTTTAATAGATTAGACGAAAAACAGAGTAAGTCTATTTCACAGTATTTGAATAAAATTATTTTTAGCATTCCAATAAAACCATTGATCAAATAAAATATTTTGCATAATATTGACATCATACTTTACTACAAATTTAATAGACAAAATACACATTTTTAAAATGAGCTATTTCTGCGATATAAGAGAGTAATTTTATTTAAAATTGATACAATTAATTAAAATAAATTTATATATTCAATAAAACTATTACTAATAAGCAACATGATATTCAAATAATGCTTCTTGTAATTTGAGATGAACAAAAAATTCATATTTAAAATTATCCAAACATTCAAATATTTCAATTATCCATTTATTTTAATTTTTGATGAATAAAGAACATAAAAAATTGTGGTACAACTTTGTTTATGATGAAAGAAAAAAAAAGAACTTCGCTTTCCGTATTTGCACGACTTAACTTACGATTGAAACACATCACATTGATCATATTTACAATTTGTTTTTATGAAAAATTTGCGATAGATAACGCTTTTAAAATTCCTCGTTTGCAACGCAGCGTGCAAGTGATCTTTTATACAAATAATTCTATGTAAATATACACACGATAATAATATCTTTCCGTCTGCAATTTGCAATATTCCCTCCCCTTTCTCCCACAAGCATCCCCTCCCATATGAACACAGTAAACAACCATACCCAAATATATCCTTGTTCCTCATACAGAACTTTCGAATCTTGCCTTCTTCTTTATCATCTTTTTTTTATCGTTTATCTTGATTTTGTCTCGTTTTATTTAAAAAAATACTGAATTAACCAAGCTAAAATCACAGACTTGCTGGTGTCTTGTTCCAGCGGGTTTGTACAAATTCTTCCTGAAGAACTCTATGTATAGTTACAAGATGTATATATATGTATATATATAATTATGTATATATAATATATGTGTATGTATGTATATATATACATATATATGTATATATAGTAATTACAATTCACTCGTGAAATAATGTTTCATTTTTTTTGCACTTCTTTCGCTCTTCATTCTCGCAAATTTGTCTCGCTGAGGTTTTCTTTTTCTCTTTCAACGAATATATTTTCATTTTCTTTCCCGATGGCTTTCAAACAGAGCAGAATTCAAAACAAAAGGAACATCTTTATAACTACAGGCTATTGTGTTTGTATCATAGTGAAAGTGCTAATTTAATAAATGCGTGCATTTATTTACTTAAATAGATTAATATTATTTCAATTGTTGTATGAAATATTTTCATAAGAGTTTTAATCGATTGCACGATAAAAGAATGTCTAAAAGATTGAAGAACTTAATTTAAATAATTTTAAATACCCGCGCGTTTCTGATATTTACAAACTTTCCGAACGAACCCAAATCGAACCGATGCTCAAGCATCGACTTCGATAATTTTTCACTTGCTTGATAAATTTATTCACGAACATACATAGTAAAATTTAATAGTAAAAGCATACATTTTGCGTTAAATTCATTATAAATATACTAACAAAAATGTTCTTAATGATCATTTTTCTTAGTAATTGTATACATTTATCACATAACCTGAAAATTGAATGCCACTTGTAGAAGTGATATAAAGAAATTAATAAATTTAGGTTGTGTACCATTTGCAAGATATGCATTTTATTAAGTAAAGTCTTAATCCTTTGCACTTATATAAAGAAAAAAAATAGGAATTTATAAATATTTGCAAGGACTGTTTTAAAACAAAAAACGCGATATTGTGCTTTTATATTATGACAAATGTAAGCAATTTTGAATACTGTTACTATTTTTAGTAAAATCTGAAATAAACACAAACATTTATTAAACTTGACACTTTACCATAACCTATATATAGTTTGAAGGACCGTGTGTATGGTGTGCGAGATATTTTCTACATCGCCGTTCGACTCTCACACTTTCTCCTGATCCTCGTCTTACTTTCGACAGAGATTTTTCAGTAGTCTTTCAAATGAAAACAGCGAATACAGGTTTCTCTTTTTTTTCAATCTCGAGTCAAGTATATTTAGCAATTTTAATCGAACGATTTATCGTTACATTGCGACTGTCATTTGAATAATCGAAAACAAAACCGAAACAATGAAATATCTTTTTCAGGTAAGTGATAAAAAAAATATACGTAAAAACTAATCGTTAAAAATGAAATGATAACTTAAAAATTCGTTTGTTTAAAATTGCCACGCATACTCATTGATATAAACATATTTATACGTATCTAACCTTTACATATCAGTAATATACAGACGCGTGTACACGTGTCATAATGTTTCACGGATACACGCGCCTCTAATTAGGTCGTTCGCGTAATTAGAGATTGTTCATATTGTCTCTCTACTTTTAGTATAATCACAGACACGGTTTTCTATATAATCGCTACGTACAGAGTTTCCTGATTCGACAAGTACCTCCTCTGTTTCCATTTTATCTTTCTTTTTTCTTTTGTTTGATATTCACACGACACTTATACACGTATTGATTAAGTATTGTCACCTCAGGCGAACGGCATAACATTCTTTCAAATTCTTGCACACCATGATTCAATGTCTACCGAGAAGCAGATAAATCAGGAAAAAAATGACTTACCGGTGATGACATCGTTATGCGGCCGTATTATTGTGTAAATCAGACACGCCACCGGAGAAAATCTGTATATACATTTACGTGTATACAAGGAGAACGTACGAACTTTCAATTCTACATAATTATAGAGATCATTTGCAAAATTGTAGCGCGTGTCTGTAAAATAAAAGAAACATTCATATTCAAAATTGCTGTATCCTTATAACCCAATGGAAAAACACTAAATTTTGTAAATTCAAATCCCATAGTATACATATATTTTTTTAATGAAATTGAATAAAGTTTACTTTTAAGTTCTGAAAGAAAAACTAAATTAAAAATAATTCTTTGCTGTCATTGGAAGGATCAAATTAATTATTCTACGTGCTAGATCTATTTGTACAATTTATTTAAAAAAATATATATATGCTACAAAACTCAAACTTACCAAAGAGCTTTACAAGACTACAATAAATGTGTAACCCATTGACCGCTTTGTAACCAATATATGATTAACGCTTAAGTTTTCATAGGAATTCATCACCTGTATTAAAGTAGTTCTTTTACTTATTGAATTAAAAGTATTCCTATTCGATAACTGAAGATCTGCATAATAGAAACAATAAAATACTGTTAAAATAACAGAAGAGATTTGTTAAAGATAAAAATACTACCTAACAAAAACCTTCTACGGCTGAAGCATTGGTAGCTAATGTAGGTATACATTTAACAAACTTTAAATATGAATATCTCCCTTATTATAAAGAAAACTGCGCACTACAATTTTACAAAATTATTACCTTCGGTGTTCTATATAATTATGCAAAGTATGGACGAAATCTCCTTGTTGTTTTCCTTCAAAGCGATATCAAGTTTTCAAACTACAATGTAATTATCTGTATCTTTCAATTTACACATATAGATTTCTATTGCATCGTACACTTATTGCAACGAGTAAAGAGGGATATATCTATGTACTATTGTATGTGAAACGAAATGAGATATTAAACTTGCAAAAGTTTTCATTCGACTTAAAAAGAAAAGTAAATGATAGTAAAACAACAGCCGATTATTGTCAAAGTGCAAATTCGTGGGTAAAAAAGATAGCCACGCGATGAAATTCACATCATTCGTACTAACACTCACTCTTCACTCTTAGTCACGTTCGAAACACCAGAAAAGATAATTACTATGGTACATGCACGAAACCACTCCCTCTCCCTTCATGCGAAGAAAAATCACAGTTGTTTACTTCATTTTTGTTGGTTATGTCTTCTCGCTTTGACTCTTTCTCTCTCTCTCTTTCTCTCTCGTACGCATGCGCTCTGTCTCGTTCGCTCGCCGCAATATCTCTCTGATCACAAAAAACAGATAATATACAATTCGACACGACGTATACGCCTAAGCTTCGCTCTCGTAACGCTTACACGTACACGTCGTCTTTTTCACGTATATAATACCTACATATATGTACATATAAACTCACGCGTTTTGTTTAAAGGTTTGTACGTATGAAGTGTAACGTGTATTAACGATGCGACGGGTGGGGCCGAGATCGAGATCGCTCGACTAGAGGTGCCACTGTCAATATCGCTAAAGTAAATAAATGTGACTGAAGTAGAACCTTTCAAATCTATTTATTCTTGTTCGAACTTCATCAACAAACCTACTTTAACTTAACGTGTAATTTTGTTATTCTTTTTGAAATTTAAACGAGAATAGTGTTACCTAGATGATTTTAGGTTAGGATCGAAATTTAAACAAAAGTAAATAGATTCAATGACAAAATTTGTGATTCTAATATTTGAAAGTTGGAAATTTTAAATACTCGATTTGGATAATTCGAATGTTCGAAGGGTTTAATGTTTGAATATTCGAATATCATTTATACGGATAATTTGAATTTTCGATTCTATTAAGTTTGTCGAGTATTGAAATTTTGAAATTCAAACCAAGATAAATAGATGTTAATGATAAAATCTCGCGTTGCATTCTACCTCGCTCGCTTCCGCCTATCGTTAACGTTATATCGTTAAGTATCAACAGGATATCGATAACTTATCGATAATCAACAGCAACACCTCTCCGCTCGATTGGCCAACGACCAATAAAAACGCTGCTGATGGACAATTCAAGAATTGCTGTCCATTACCGATAACGATGACGCGTTGTACGAAAATACTCCGTTGTATTAACTTCCCAAGAAAATTACAAATGCGTCGAGAAAAATACGTGGATGTTACTTCAGTTTCATTTATTCCATACGTTCTCGAACCGTGAAGAAACGTTGTCGGATGTTTTGTGTACGTGGCTCGGTGGTAATTTGCATTGATAATGCGAGGTTAGGGAGAAAAGAAATCCTTGACGAGAAGAGAGGATGTCAGCGGATGTTGCTCGTTGATCCTTCGTCCGGAAGTAGACTCGTTTCTCCATGTTATTCCTCTTCGCCGTAGGAGGGAACGTGCCAAGAACTCGCATCTCTTGCAGGTTATGTTCGAAATACATCAGAGACTTCGTGGAAGAAAAAAAGGTAAAGAAACACGTTGGTGTTGAATCCTTCTCGAGGGAGAGAGAGGCTCTTCGCTTTTCCTCTCTCGAGAACAGAGGAGAGGGTCAGACTGGTTCGTTGTTCCCCACCCCATAGCTTCCTTCCAGGATTAACGGAAGTACGTAGGTGGAGAGGGGGGCTGAGATCAATTTGTTGGGAGCTCCACCGGAGTTCGCCCATTTTTTTTCTCACTTTGCCTCATCGGCTGTTTCCGTGGAAACGATCTTCAGGCGAGACACACCGAAGAGGACCACTGGTCTAGGTACATTTAAGGGAACGCGCAGTATTCTCCTCAAAACATGTATCCAATGATTTCCCGCCATTTTCCTCTCTCGTACGATTAACGAAAATTCGGGTGACTAGAGTCAGTCGTGGTTTGCATTTGCCGATCCCTCGAGGAACCGTCGAACGATGCGCGCGCATCGATTTCTTCGACGGCCAAAAATAAAAATGGTTCTTCGTTTTCTGTACACTTTTTGTTGTTTCGTGTTTTGGTCAAATTGCTCGACGGAGCAGCACACTGCGCGTTCATGCACGAGTCAAACTTTCACCTGACCAGAAGAAAAAAAGCGCAATCACATGTATCACGAAAAAAATATAACGTGTGTACTTTGATCAGTCCGAGAGCGTGATGCACGTCCAATGGAAATGAGGCGAGACGCTTAGCGTCGTCGCATCGATACAGTATCGACGAGAAAGCTTCAACTGGAAACGAACGCAGCAATTTGCTCGCTGAACTGCGAGTGTTCCAGCAGTAACGAGTCTTTACAACTTTCGAATTGCTGTTGCTGCTGTTGTTGATGGTGTTGATGTTGGTGTTGGTGTTGGTGTTGGTGCTGATGTTGATGTTGATGTTGCTGCGACTCCTCCGGATCAGGCTCCGTGCGTTCGTAGAGCACACAAATGGACCCGTTCTCTCCGATTCTGTACGAAACTTCCGACGGATCGATCCACATGGTCAGCTCGCTCGGGAACAAACTATGCAACACCGTGGGCAGCAAACCGACATTCGCGCCTGCCTGTGCGATCACAGGATCCATTTTACCGTTGATGCGTATGCAACGGTAACCGGAACCGCGATTTGGACGGTCCGGGAACCAGTGGTCCCTATAACGATGGCGTAGAACCTCCGTCAGAGAGGATTTGAACATCTCCAATTGTCGTTCGGATAGTTGGCCCGTCTGCAAACGCAGCAGATGCACCAGAAAATCTGCTGCTGACACAATTTCCAGTCTCATGGTTGCAGTACGGTGAGACCCAGGACGAATGATCTACGATATGATTATTTTGATCGATCTCTTCTTCTTCCACTTCCTCTTCTCGAAAATAAATACCGTTTTGAAAAGGTCACGGCACGAAAGGAGCCGTTGTTGTTCGCGGGACGCGTACTGGAGTCTTCACAAAATGGCGTCGCCGCCACGTCGTACGATCGCGATGAATATTCGCCCGTCGATGCTCCAGCGCGACGAGAATTTTGAAGCGTGCTCCGTTTATTCTTCCACCGATATCGATTACGATTCGTTGTTATGGCGATCACTTTTATTTTAGACGAGAATTTTTCCTCAAAATCTCGCTGGAGAATGGCTGGATTAATCCGGTGATTCACGGATATCGTTGTTGGTAATGAACTCTTTTTTGCTTGCCGACCCGTTTCTCCGCTTGCCGAGATGTTAATGATCGAGTAGACCGCGAACTATCGTACTCGAACGAACCGTAAAAATAACCGTCCCACGCCGTTTCACTACGAACACTTTTCTAACCACAATACAACTTTCTCACGAAGCCTAAACCGACGAGCATCTATCCGACTCGCGGAACGACCGCACCCACCGATTGCCAACGACTTTCTAGTAGCACCGACCGTCGACGCGAACGAAGTAGCTTTGTCTCTTTGTTCACGCAGCCCTGAGGGGGGATGGTACGCGCGCGCTGATTGGCTGACTACGTTTCCCACTGTGGCAAACGGTCATGTGACCACAATCTGCGCGCTTCCGATGCGCACGCGTTCGCAGCTGCGTCCCGAATACGAATCGTCTGCGCAATTAAAGGTTCTCAACCTGGCGTCACGTCGTAGAAAGAATGAATAAATTTCAAATATTTCTCTGAAATCTGAATTATAAATAACATCCGATTACATGCACGTGTACATACACTCGAATGTGATTCAGGTTTCCATTGAATAAGGACTAATGTAGGACGAACAGTGTATTACTTCCCATCGATTTTCGAATAAAGTTAAATAAAGTTGAAATTAATTTTGAAAAGTTTCAAAATTTTTCGATACTCGAGTACTTTTAGTTTGGCTTAAAAATAAAGTTGGAAATTTTCAAATTTTTCAGATATTCAAATAATTAAATTTCAAATTACCAAACTTGGAAAAAATGATAATTTTACATTTCAAAATTGTAAATAAGTTTTAGATTGCTAAATTATCGAGTAAAGAATATTAATGATTATTGATACTTCTTTCTCCTACGCCATTTTTTCTAGGGTAGTCTAACACACTCACCTACACGCGCAAATACAAAATATTGTAACAGAGTTTTATTCTTGTAGGATTAAAATTAATATTGTTTCGAACGTTAACTGTTACTGCGATTTCACGTTATCATCCGAACGCCCCTTAAGGCTTCTTTCACCTTCGAACTTCGACGATGCAACAGCTTAATATTTTATCGTTATCAATAACGACGTGAGTCATGCACCTTTGAATTCCATGTTTATCGAAATATGTACGCACGTTCAACCGTTCGTGTCTCATAAAATGTCCAATTTATCAACGGTAATGCGATGCTATACCTGTTCATTATTCTGTCGAAGGTAGAAAGCAGGATTTTCGAAGAAAAGATGCAATCGCGAGTATATATCGTAAATAGACTAGAAGCAATCGTAAAATTCATTGCTTTTCATATTTAAATGTTTCAGGTCGAAGACTTTACCTGTGATCGACGGATAATTATGGGACTATAATGTACAGTTATCAACGGGTTTCCTTTCTTCGATACGAAGAAGAAAATTATATTAAACGAATGGGTACAGTACCGTTCAAAAGTTCTAATGGCGACGCACGTGTTACTTGGTCAAAAAATAAAACGCAGTTGAATTTCAAAATTTCGATCGTAGTAACTTATCTTATTTGTCAGTATAAGCATAAGATACGGCTTTCAGGGACTGTCTTATGATAAGAGTCTCATCTAGAGTGGGTTAAGATATCTCGAGCGAAATTTGGTTATAGCTATAGAAATGAAATAGTAATATACGAATAAAGTGGTAAAAATTACGTTATTGTAATAACAAATATATTGTCAGGTAATGCAGATGCAAAATATGGAGTATTTTAGATATAAAGTGTAAGTATTAATAATAGTGGAAAAAAGATTTTATTACAAATAGAATTTTAATAATAGGTGAATAGATATTAATAGTAATAATAATTAGTGTATAGGTATTAATAATAAGACAGCATTAAGGCAGAATTTTAATTCAGAATATTACTTTTTTTTAAAGTATAGAAAATAGTAGAACCTTAATTATACAGATATAGGTATTAATAATAAAAGATGAATAATTTAATGAACAGGATTTTAATGGTAAGAATATTACCTTGTTAAAATATAGAAAGTAGTAAAAGTTTAAACATAAAAATATATGAATAGTATTTTTACCCGAATTTTATCTATAGAAATTAATAATATCATTTAATAAAATTAACGCTTTACAAAGAACTTTCACCAGAAAAAGAAGTAAATCATCGGATTTTTATCGTTTCAATTATTCTGTTTCCGATGCATAGATGAGTATCACTGTGCACTAACCTATGTCCTATTGTATTTCAGAGTGCGCATTCAATTGCAATTCATCTATTCTCCCATTTTTTTTTCGCTGATTTTATTTTCTTCCGTTTTTTCATACGAATTTCATGCGCTGACCACCGATAACGCGCTATACAAATTACGAAACTCACTTCCGTTGCTTATTATTTACATCGAATTAACAAACATTAGTTATAGTTTTAATTAATTCTATTTTTATTCTGTTCCGCAATCTACTTTTTTTTGTAATTACAGTAATGCTCGTTTCTCGTAATGTACTATTTTTATTTTAGTATGGAAGATTCTTAGATTATAACTTACACTTCGTAATAAAATTATTTTAACAGTTATAAATGAATAACTTGAGATATAAATTCTACGTTAAAGGTGTCGTTCCTATAAAAACAAATACAATTCTTTTAATATTTTTTTTTATGGTTCATCTCAGGGTTTTATTAAATTATATTCCATCAGATATTTTGTTTTCAATTCATATATACTTTTTAATTTAAATTATGATTTAATAAAATATTAAATAAAACAAATTATTGAATAATTTTTAAATTCAACACAATATTTTTAAATATAGAAAAAGATAAAATAAAGTAAAATTAATATCTATAAATTATCAATTGAAAAAGTAAATTATTATCTTCAATTAATTGTTATTATTTTATTACTGATTAAAAATAATTTCTTAATTTACATGACATATTTTTTTATCTTAATTATGATTTAATGAAATATTAATTAGGATAAATGAATAATTTTTAAATTCAACACAATATTTGTAAAAAGGATCAAATAAAATGAAAGAGAATTGATATCTATAAATTATCAGTTAAAAAAATAATTTATTACCAATTAGCTATTTTAAATTTATTAATGATTACAAAAATAATTTCTTCCTTGTTTCAAACAGTGCAAAATTGATTTCCATTTTACGAAAACCAACTTTATATCAAAATTAAATAATTTTTCCACGAAAATACAAAAGTATCGTTTTTAAAAAAAAATCTGTATCAAGAATGAAATTTTAAGCAACGAAATATAATTCTGATTAAAATAAACCTAACAAAAGAAAGACACAGTGCTATGCAAATTATTGCATTTCTTTTCTTGAACACAAACCTTCCTCAGTTCATTTGCCTCTCATTGTGAAATGGAAAATGCAGTTTCACGTATCGATTTCCTCACAATTTCCCCCATTTATTTCATTCTGCCGCCCCTGGATTGGCTCTCCCTAATCGAGCTTCATGAAAGAACACACGAAGTCTACGTACCTGATAACCGGAAACCGATTTGCTATCTACAGGGTGTTATTTCTACCGCGACGCTCGTTTTTCTATCGTCTTTCAACCATCTGACATAAATAATTTACAACGAAAATTTGAAGGTATGCAATAGACGTTTTTCCACCGTCTTTAAACCATGTAACGAAACTAATTTACAACGAAAATTGTAAGGTATGCAATAGACGTTTTTCCATCATCTTCCAATCATGTGACAAAAATAATTTACAACGCATATTTTAAAGTGTGTAATAGACATCGATTAGAGAAATTTTTAAAACTGTTTTCTTGAGGTCACCCAAGGTTTTACAAGTGGAAACATTTTTCTTTTTATTATATTATAGAGGATATTTAGACAAATTCAAAACATATGCTGCACGATATTTTGCTAACACATTATAATACTTCAATATGTTATTATAGTTACTGAAGGCATAATGCATTTCGAACATGTGATTAACCCTTTACGACCACCCTCCATCAGAATAATATATATCTAATACACTGCGACGTGTAAGATCCAGCTGCCAAAAATGTTTCAGACAAGCTACACATTATTTTAATTTGAAAAAAAAATATAAATATTCCTTAAAAATTGCTTTAACATATTTCACGGCTGATTTCAGTAAATTTAAGTTTTTATATTCAAATATTCGGAAACGAAAAGAATCGAAAAATGACGATTTTCACCGAGAAATTCAAAACTCTCTTCGATTTTAATTGTAGTCTAACGCCCCTGAGATATAATATTTTGAGGAAAAAAAACAGTGAAAATACCAGGGATTTTAAGAAGGTATTTATTCAGATTTTTTAAATTCCTTCTAATTTTAAAACAACTTCTTGCTAATTTTAAATTAGTTGGAGTTATTCCCTAATATGATTGTTTAAAGTTAAAGAATCACATTTTTCTGTATAAATGCATTCTTCTTATGTCCTAGTCACGTGGTTATATTCAATCTCATATCAAAACTAAATATTGTGCATTTATTATTGCAAATCAAGAAATATGTTAATAAAGATATCATGCAATATTTAGAACTTATCTCAACGTTCAATACGGTAAAAAAACATGTGTTCCTATTTGTAAAATCCGAATACAATTTCCCCATGAAAAGGTGTCAAATTTTTTTATTGATATTGTACTCTGCAAGTTGCATTCTCTAGTGCAACTCATATTTCAAAAATTTGATGATTAAAACATTTGAACTCGAAAGATGACTCACACTCACTTCTGTTTAATACAACAATTTGGAATAGGTATTTTTTACCTTGACCCCTTGTCATACAATTTATTTGCCAGATGCGTCAGTCAAAACTAGTAGTTATAATATTAAATCAAGGAAAATTAAAATATATTTTATATACAGCCTTGACTATACGAATTATAGTTGCACCTAAATTTTCAAGTTGAAGTATTAATCTTAATTTTAATCGAATTAAGAATTTTAGCAAGGTTTGTCACATTGGAGCTATGAGTGCGTCAAGAGTGAAACACGTCAAAGTACATCAAAGGGTTAATCTGCAGTATTATAGATATAATGTGCAAACGCAATGAAACAGACAATAAAAAAAAAATTAATAACAGAAAGATAACTTCAGAAGAATTTATCAAACTTTCCACCTAAAAATTGCTATCTATCCTCAGCAAAAATGCCTTGAAATGAAAAGGGTGAAGCTTGAACATAAACTTGTGTTAAACTTACACTGTAAGTGGGTGTAATACATATAATGTGTTCAAGTTTAATATAAATGAGATAGAAATGAATACATAA